ATAAGAATCGCTGTGTTTTTGTTACCTTAGAATGAGCAGTTTCTGTCTACAGAGGGAGCGGGTTCTCTCCTATGGAGTCCGCCGTGTTGAACCGGCATTGTTCTACAGTAGCCTAAAAGGGACAAACCAAACACTGGCTGTGGATAGGGCCTTTTGCATTTTATGTGCTTGGAAGGCGAGTGCTAGATGCCACTAAATTCTACACACTAGTCCCTCCCATCTTATGACCTTGTCATGATTTATCTTGTGACCCTGTGGAGGGGTCAGACCCCTAGGTTGGGAACCACTGGAATAAACTATCTAATTGTATATAAAGTACTTAAAACTAACTCAACCTCTATCCGTGACAACAGTTTAAATGCATTAATACTGATCATCAAATGATTTTGAGAATTGACTGATACATCTGTAGTTTTACTCACTATGAGTAAGTTTTAATTTAGAACTTGTAATTGAGTATTTTTACACTGTTGTGTTGTTGAGTGCTTCTTCCAACATTGCATGTTTCTTATAAAGTAATAACTTTCCAATAATTTTGTAGTTGTTGCAAGAAAATAATGAATGTACAACATTTCTATATTTCTATATCTATATTTGTATACATTATATGAACCAGGGTTCATGTTTTATTCCATTTTGTCTGAAAATGAACGTCCTGGGTTCAAACCATGCATCGGCAAACATGAAGCAGTGGTATTCAACCTTGGTCCTTAGGACTCAGAGGGTGTTTTCAATACCAGGACAGCCAAGAGTGGACTTTAAAAGGATGTTCTTGCCAAGTCTCCTTGAGAGAACAGTCTGGCAAGATAGCAAGGACGGAGAACACAGCTGTCAGAGTTTGAGACATTCTGTTTAGCTTCTATTGTGCAACTCTGAATGTCCAGCTCATTTCACCAGTGACAGGACAACACCAGCATCATGTTTGATTGAGTTTGTATTACATTTGTTTTGTAGTTTTACATTGCCTATTCTACTGCTTTTATTTTTTACGTATGCTTATTGTATTTTCCTAATAAAACCAAAATAAAAACTTTAAAAAATGTAAGTTCTTAAATGTTCATTTTAGGTGTTTTGCTGCCTCTGCTCTGTATGAAAACAGAACAGAAACTCACACCTCATGTTATTTTCTCCGCACTTACTGTAGTTAGCGAGCCTTACAACTAACACTGGCTATGGGCCTCCTCTCCACACGTCTGAACCCCCACCAATTACTTGCCACTAAAATATGCAAAGATTCAGCAATTGCTGTATATTGTTCATTTCTTCCTTGTCTTTGTCTTTCAGTGCACCAAGTACTTACTAAATTAGAACACAGTAGACTTGGATTGTCCCTTCTGCTATCAGTTCAAGCTGCTCACCTCTCTTCTCTTCTCTTCAGACTCAGGAAGAGAATTGTTACAAGGACAGTTAATTGTGAAGATTCGGTGATGTGTGAAACTCACAAATTCAAGAATATGTACACGTCGAGTGATTAGGGGCCATCTTCGGGAACATTATTGCCTTGCTGACTCTGCAACAAACCATAAATTCGCATCTCAAATCTTTTTTTGTCAGCTGTGAGCACGTCACAGTGGAACATGAGAAGGGCTGCTATCTCTTTAAGCCTAAAATTAGTTGGTCTTATTTTTGTTTGACTTGCATCAGACTAGTCTCAGAGGAAAACTAAAACTGATCTAATTGACTAGATTAGCCTAATCTTAGTGAAACTGGCCCCAGGGTTGCTTTGGGGACTCAGATCAGACTTGTGTGTGCAGTACTGTAACTCTGCACTGATCTCACATATACAGCAGCAGTCTGGGTGCTGAGGGGCTGGTGCCCTTGAGCAAGGCACTGTGTCCCCCTCCAGCTGCAGGGGCGCTGATGTGCAGCAGTCCACGAGCGAAAAAGATCATTTCCCTGTAAGCAGCGACACAGTGACGTCACTGAATACAACCTGCAGCGTGTCAAACACTCACGGAGCTTTATGTGACCTATTTTATAAGGAAGACGTTTGAAGTGGTTCGCATGAGGCGGTTGAACCCTCCGCTCAGGTACGAGCAGCCAATGGGAGCGCAGTAGGGAGTGTTCAACGGCGAGGAGGCGGTCCGCCCCGGCACACACGCAGCACACCTTCAGATGGAGATGAAGTAGCAGCGGCAGTCGATCAACTGTGCAACAACAGCGTCTGTACCGCGGATCCGGAGGTTTATTCTTCAGGGGGGACAGACAGGTGACAGAGCAGACCGACCGAGACTCAGCCGCCTCAACGTCCATCGGTGGAGATTACTGCCGTTTCACCCCCACCACCCCCAAACCCCCC